CCAGAATGTACCCTGTTGAACTGCCTTCTGACGTTTACGACCGTTAAGAGAACCATAAATTTCGCGGCGTGCTTTTTGCAACGTGCTGTATATACATTTAAATAAGCTTCCTTTAAAGACGTCGAACCACTGCGTCGTTTCAACACCATGATTTGCGTCAATTTTTGCAACCTATCACCCCAAATAATTAAGAGATGACTCTTTCAATTCAAAATTAAAACGTCCGATATTCTAAATACATAATAGTATCTAGATTCCTAAGAATCTGAATCTGAAGAAAAAAATGAAATATGTTTTCATATGTAGAAATGATTAAATTTATATATATATATGATAAATTGTACTAAAATTATGAGTGAAAAATAAAGACAAGAGAAATAGTTCGATCTTAGCCCAAATCAATTGTAACATTGTACATCGTTAATTGTAATTCTGAACAATTGAAATACTTATTTACGCGAATAACGATAAATGGAAGGACAGTTAAAAAATAAAGTATGCAATGTAAGATTCCCGATAAAGACGTACTCATTTTCGAATGCAATATAATAATTCCGATAGTGTTTGAGTGATGAACATTTTGTTGATACTAAATATATAAATTCATTGAATATTAAATCCCGAATGAAAGAGATTTTTCGACGTATAACTATAACAACGAAACTTATTATTATCGTTAAACTGCGAAAAGAAATTAAATTATCGGAATTCAAATTTTCAAGTATCACGCACGTCGCACGTAGAAACTTTTTAATAAAAAGGACAGAAATTCTGATTTCTAATTTCCCTAAAAATCTACGAAAAATTCCTCCGATCCGATCCTCGAAAATCAAGGCGTACGTAAAGGCGTACAAAGCGCTCGTGGGCAAGCGATGAAGGAAAGAAAGAGACGAAAAGAAAATTGAAAGTAACTTGGGGACTCTTCTATTTGTCAGGCCAATTAGATCCGATTTTCGAGCAACCGATCCAGTCGGTCGTTGCGGTTTGGAGTCGCGGTCGTAGACCACCGGTCCTGTCTATTATTGTCATCGGAGTTGCAATAGGAGCGCGACGAGTCCACCCCGCGTACATTCATCCGCGTTCAAGAGACCGCCAGCAGACCGGGCAGCTCGTTCAGTGAGGCCGCACCATGGCGATTCATAGTCTCGCGGGTGTTCCATTAATGAGGAGTTGCTCGTTGCGGCTAACCGCGACTGTTATTATAGCTGCTCATAACAGTGAAGCGTGGTGACCCGGCGGAGTCGGACGGGAGGAGGAGGAGGCCTGAAGGCAGGCGTGTCGCGCGATGTCTCGCGACTATGAGGCATTGAGCATCTATTTTCACGCGAGCGTTGCCAACAGCGTCGGCCCTTGTTGCGCGATCCGCAACGATCCAGTCGTCGACCGGTACGGTTGCTGCTCGTCGCAGCAATTAAGGCTGCACAGTGGCAGAAGAAATTTCTGCGGCCACAGGAACCAGACGTCGAAATGGTTACATGTTCGGGAAATTGCACCGGACAAATGGTCTCTGTGATATCACCATTGTTCCGCGACACTCGAACCACTCGAAGAATCAACGATCGGCTCTGCGACATTGTTGCACAAGTACGTTACGTGATCAATCCTTTGCATTCGTTGGTAACAATTGAAAAATTGGTACTTTACGTTTCCTCTGGCAACTCGGATCGCCAATGCTGCCGTATATATATTATGGCAACTTCTAACGGCAGATTTTGCAATATTTAAATGCAAATTTCACAGACTTACTGATGCACTATCTGAGAATGATTCTGAACGATTTTAATTATAATGTATCAAATGTAATCGTCTTTTGAGGTACATCGTGAAATATGAAATATAAATTAATAAATTCATTAAAAAGGGAAAGTTTAATGTTCCTCTTGGCCGTGATAAACGAATAATCCGGAATTTGATGTGTAATTATCGAGTTGTTGCAAGGAGATGTGCAAAGAGTTAATACTCAATTCTTGAGGACCGAGATGAGTTCTAACATTTGAAAAATTGCATTTGTAACATCGTCACTTGTCTGCATTTTTCAAATTCGTGGGAATAATTAGTTTGACTTTTCAGAGGTTCATTTGATGACTAAACTGTTTATGAGAGGAGACTATAAATATGATTATAACTTCACTACACTATAAATACTACACTATAATTATAAATATAATATAATTTCTACCTAAAAATATAAATGTAATTTCAACATCTACATACACTGGACCACAATAAAAATTTAGAACAATTGAAATTGCAAACTGAAATGTCTTCCAGGAAAAGTTCACATTCACTTTCATGTCACACGAAATACACTACATATTCAAATTCTATCGTCGTAAACGGGATTTCAACTATACCAATGAAATTATCTAATAGAAACGAGTTAATCGCAAGAGAGAGGGGAGTGATAATCCCCGCGAAAAGAGATCGCGATCCGCGAAAAGTGACTCGTTCGATCATCGAGTGTCGTGAGTGTTGACCGCGAACGTCCGTGAAGTGGAGAGCCGGTTGTCAACCCTCGACGCACGCCTAATTACATCGCCGCGCCGTTAATTATATATCTTTTAATACGTCAATTATTTTATTAGCGGGCTCTCGCGCCGCTGCGTCGCCCTCTCTTCTCCCTCTTTCGCTCGCCACACGATTCGTCTCCGCATTTTAATCAATTTTACGTTGAAATTAAACGTCGCGATAGATTAGAGATAGATCATCTTTCCTCGACCGATCAATTTAATAATTTTACATAATTTTACTTTCACGCGGGCTTTTTGTCGCCTCGGAGATGATTCAGATACGTAGAAGCTGATTTCTCTACGTGCCCGATGAAACTGTACGCTGCAGGAGGAAAAGTGAGATGTAATTATAAAATTCGAGGAAACAAGATGTCGAAAAAGAAAAGTCGAACCGTCAAGAGACGTACAAAAGGAGGAATATTCATGTTTCCCATACGGGGTGAAAAGAGCAAGCACTTTCGTGTTGTACATGTTCTAATCGATCGTTTCTTTCGAGCCTCATTCACGAATAAAATGCAGATACATTTTAACCATACATTAGTAGACAAAATTATAAGATATTCCGAGCAAGTTTCCTGTATTAAAAAAAAATATCCCCGGAATGAGCAAGATCTTGAGTTTGTAGGTAAAAAAAATTCCGACTAATGCTCTTCAGAAAATAGAATATTTGCAAGATATCGCTTTATATAGTAAGTAACGTAGTTATTATATTATAAGTAACCGTGCTTGCAACTAAAATTTGCAACGATGGACTATGATCGCGTTGAAGCAATAAATCTTCACCCTTCCTCTTTGCTAACACACTCTCGATCTATTAACGCTCGTTTGAACTCTCTCAAGGAAAAAGATTTCGCCTTTCTTCTAAGCCGAGACACACCGACTGCGTTCCATCGGTGGAAAGGGGGCAAATTAATTTACCCCAAGGGAAACGTTCGTTCGTATTACAAACAGAAGCTGGGCGCGGTGACGAACGAAGAAGCAAAGAGAGAAATCCAGCGCAGACAGTGGAGGGCGTGGGAGATACATTTATAAACTCTCGTGCATGAGCCTTGGAATCGGCTGATTTATTGGCCACGGAAGAAGATCGTCGCGTCGTTCGCTTTAGAGCGCGTCGACGGCCGCGAATGAAGTGGACCAACTTTAGGGACCCTTCACGTCGAATCACGGCGTGTTCTCCTTAATCGATCGTCCATGACATTGAACGATCAACAAATTATACGTTGCGAATGCGCTTTAAACTTTGCTTCGTGGCGCGGCGCAAACTGATTTGGAATTGGACATTCATATTTTATTGAGAACTTTGGACTTTGAGAGTGTCTACCTTTGTAGATAATTAATATCATTTGTAACTTTCGAATAAAATGTGGAATTCTCTTCATTGTTCAAAATGAATAGTTAAAGCTCAAAAGCCTTAGGATACTTCTTAAATAATGAATAAAATAACAAAATTTTACTTTTTACGTGAATGTTATATTAATATTTTACAGACTCTGTTATGTAAGTTAATTTTTTTTCCAGTTTTTCAAGAAGTATAGTACTCATCCTAATTAGTTCTAAGACTCCTGAGCTTAGATATAACGCGTGCAATTTAACAATGGGTTAATGGTATACGTGATGAATTCACACATGCCTCTCTTTTATTACTTTAATCGTTCACATAATTTTTTTCGCCTGTGGTAATTAACACTTTCAACTGCAAACAAATTTTTGTTTCAAAGAATGTAAACGAACGAAAAAGTACAAGTAAATTAACCAGGGGCTTAATAAATAGTAACATAAAATATTACTATTTATTAAAATATCAAATATTATAAATTACAGAGTTTTCCATGAGCATTTCATTTCTAATAAATAAAATTATATAGTAATTACAACTATATACCCACTTTATGGTAATTATAACCATATACCCACTGAGTTTAAAATTCAGAAATTTTCGAAAAATGGAATTGACTCTCGAGTAATTCATACATTCTACAAGTAAAAATTCCTTGTAAAAGAAACAAATAACTTTGCTTCCAATAAGACTGTTTCGCCGCGAAAATAATCGTTTGTCCCCTCCAACAAAATTCCTCCGCCGTACATCTCGAAAATAAACTACCTTTATGATCACCGAGCAAGTATCAACTTCATCACGTAACAGTTACGCATATCGAAAAAGCGAAGTTCGCCCTTTGACAACATCTGGCGCTTGTCTCGTCCATGACGGTTGTTTCTAAACTGGTCGCCGGGTTCTTTCGTAGGAGGCACCCGGAAGCGTCGTCGAATTCACCGAGACCGGAGAAACGGACTACAAGAGAATACGGGATACTCTGCGAATTTGCGAGAAGGCGCGTGTAATTTGACGGTAGAAACGTCGCGACGACGTTCGTGCCCGCTGCTTTGTACCGGTCGCGTTTCAACGAGCCCAGCTCCATTACTTTCGCACGTATTGTAATACACATGTTGGATTCCATTAAGCTAACAAATGTACGCAGTACATAATCTCACCAGAATCCCTGTGGACGTTCATGTTGTTCGTTCCTCGCCGGCATTTCTCACTGAGGGAGGCGTTCTCGATTGTTTCGTCTAGCTGGCCGATTGTTGCGTCTGCCGTACATCAAGTTCAAGCGTTCCTCAGCTGCATCTTGTCCCTGAAACAGAAGCACAGAAACAACATTGTTAAAGGGATTGAACGTCTCCTCCAAACGTATTCAAATTGCACGCAATTGCGCAATTTGTTTTTTAAACGAAAGTTTAAGAGAGCGGATATTTGAAACCTTGAGGACCTCAGTGATATTAACAATAATAGTAATAGATATTACAGAGTTGGATTCCACGTGTATAATTTTCTATGCATACGAAAATAGAAGTTATTCTTCCTAAAGTAATATTTCGTACAAATTTATATTTGTATGTATTTATATTGTACAACAATAAAGTAAAAGGAGTTTTTTCTGAAATTTAATAAGTCCTCAAGGGGTTGATAAACTATCCACGAATATTAATATTGCACGATAATTTTTTACTGCTTATAATAAATAAATTTGTGATAATATACCTCGATACGTGTAAATACGGGATCTTACTACATGTTTCTCTCTGTTTTAAACTTTACTAACAAAACTGTAGATTTGCCAAGAACTGCGAGTTTATTTAATTCTTGTTCAATAATGTTCTTTTAAATGGAAAATGAAAGCGTCGATATCGTATAAATTGAAGAACGTAGACTGTAAACGTTGTCACTGGTCTGGAGAGGCACGAGAAATGAAATATTACGGTCGAAAGACAGAGGAAGGAAGGACGTCTTAACTTGACGTGTGTAAATATTCGACTGTCCTGACAAGTAAACTCATCATGCGTGCTACGAGACTGCCTTCATAACAGTCAACAAGGTTAAATTTTCGCGTACTGTGAAATTTTATGCGCGTACTTCAAAATTTCCGTCGAGAACATCGCGTTGATAAAATGCCGGAAATTTACAGAGAAACTGTGAAAATTAAATTATGATAAAACTTCCATATCCGCGGATTTATATTTGTACGTTTTTTTTTAATATTATAATATAATTGCACTAGTTTATGGTATCGTTTCAATATGTAATATTTCTAATATGTCCAGTACAATATTTTTAAGCGTTAACTTTTATATCATATTATACGGATTATGGTATTAAGAACCCATGCTGATCATTTCCATAAATTGAAAAGTAAAAAAATGATTACATAAATGATTATATAAATTATATTTACACCATCTTTCTCCTGTGATAAATAAATTCGCAGAAATAAGTCAATTTTATGAATTTGTAAATACGAAATTCCTGCTGTACATTTCAATTTTATTATCAATAAAATTTCCACAAAAAGAACATACATTCTTCTCTTCGTCCTTAATATTTAAATCCTCGACGTAAAAATTCTTTCTAAACGGAAAATATCCAAGAGTCACGATCGAGAAAATACTGAGGGTCCACGAAGGGTTATTAAATACACGTATTTTCTACATTCTATGCACCCCATACCTCCCAACCAACATCCAACAAGCACGATCACACATCTACCAAGAATCTAGTCAAACATTTTTCCATCTCTTCATCCGCCTCGATCTGCATTCTCGTCGGACGACTACATGATGTTTAATTACGTTGATTAATTTCGCCAGGTACGTTCATTCGATTACCAAGCAAGATTGAAACTCGACGATTAATTCGAAGACGAAGACGAGAAGGAGGAAAACGCGGCCACACGACGGCGATAACAATTCCGTCAGAGAGAAATCGGCATGAACGTCGAGCCGCGTCAGAGAGTGTGGGCGCGGGAGAGTGTGAGCACGCTTGTGCCGCGGTGAATCGCAGAAATAGCTAAGCACGCGTTCAGAGCAGAAGTCTCAGGGTTCGTGAAATACATCGCTACGTTGATAAAGCGGCCCCCCACGCCAGAAACTTCGAAAATTTCCACCGTCATTTGTTACCGAGGAGTTCAGTTTCACGCGCCATCGCGTCGTTCCCCGCCTCGCCTTTTCCGTTTCTCTCGACTTCTCGTCGCGATGAGCGGCGAGTCGTATCGGCCCGGCAAACGTATCAAACACCGTTTCCCGGAAAATTATGACGGCGGATTAGCGTGAAAAATGGATTGTTTTCGGTGGCCGGCGGACGCGTAATTGTGACACGCGACAAGATTATTCATTGTCGCCAGGCTGCGTGAGCCGCGGTTTCCGAGACGCATTTCGCTTGTCCGCCCGCGTTGATGCGTGTCCTAAATTACGTCGGATGACATGAAAATCCCGCGTTTCAATATCAGGGAACGTCAGGTGAAGATGAATCGGTGATAGTTTCTTAATCTTGCCAAGCAAGGATTAGGTAAGTATTATACACGTAACTAAGAAACTAAAGGTAGTCACATAAATATTGTATAACATATATTGAAGAAGAGAACTCTTATTTTGTCAAATTGAATGTTGCATTACACATACCTCGACTCGATGTTGTATTAAAATACGTATATATACACATCAGTGATGTGAGAAATACAAAACCCTCTCATTTAAGCTGGAACAAAAAAATACAATTTCTCAAAAAAAAAGAAAAAAAGAAAAAAGCGTAAACTACAAAAATTTGAGCAAAGAGAATCATAAGCCTACATATTTCCAGTAAAAGAAAACAACATAATCTGCCAAAATATATCAGCAAACGAAAATGACAGGCTCGAGAAATTCTAGAAATTATTAATTCTATCGTGTAGTTCTACTCTGCTACGCGATTCCATTTCAATTCCGTCAATTATTCTCCTTCCAAATTTCATTAACAAGAAATATCCTTTACAAGAACATCCCGCAGAAGCGTACGAACCACCGCGCTGGTCGTCGTTTCGACGATGAGTATCATAACCTGAATTCGAGGAACGTCGCGATGCGACGAGACGCGTAGATCAAAGAAAACGAAACAGCCGCGAAATCTCGGACGGTCATCGGTAACGCCTAACTAGGTACGAGATGGGACACCCTCGTTATTATATCGCGGAATTCCTTTCCGCGTTCAGCGCGCGTTCGCGCGAGGGCGAGCACACGATGCGCGTAAATCTTTCGGCGTGGTTACAGCCGCCGAGCATTACGTTGATGCACTATTTATAAACATGTGACATCGGGACGAGTGGTTTGGTGCGGGTGGGCCGAGCAGTTTCGTGCTCTCGCTTCCTCTCGTCCACCTGCTCGCGCGTACACCCGACCCGGACAGCTACCTCTTACATTTCCCTCCGCGAACATTCGCGTGTTCCTTTTCCCCTGTCCGTCTTATTAAATTCCCGACACTGGTGTCTGCCTTCCTTCCGACACCAATTTCCCTCCTTCTCGCAGATGTGAATACAGAAACAGCGAACTGCAGTTGCTTCACGAAATTATTGCAACGAACGAACAGAAAGTTTTTGTCGATATTTTAACCATATCCTGTGAAAACGTTTTACTGACGCTGTAACGATTATGATTAGGTTATGATTTGGTAAAATTTGAAATTTTGGAGATGGAAATATATAGAACATACAGGGCAACCCATAACCAACTAGATGATACATACATGCAAAAAAAGATTCTCGTAAATGCTAGAATCTAGAAATACTAGAATCTAACATTTTAAACACTTTTTAAATATTAGACTCCACATTTAAATATTAAATATTAATATCAATCTTTAAATATTAATATTAATATAAATTAAGTGTTAATATGATAATTTAATATATATAATTAATACATGAATATTAATATTAAATATTAAATATAAGACTTCTACAAGAGCCTGAAAGACAATGCTAATGAAACCAACACCAAAAACCTCGAAACTCAAGAAAAATAAGAAAACGGAAACAAGCTCGGAACTCTGAACAAGCTTTGGAATTCGAAAACCTACGTCAATCCACGCACTGGCGTGATTTCTTCGTACAGAGTAGACAAGGTTGTCCTTCGACTAATTACCGTACACTCCACCTTTCTAATAGATTTCGTTCCTATTAAGGACACCGTGATCCAACAGTAAATAAAAAAGCCAATAAAAAAGCGAGAACAGAACAGAAGAGAGATCAGGGATGAGGAACATTAACGCGATCCTTTATCGGCCCACTTTCGCGTCGGACCCTAGCCCTTCGATACGCAAAAATTATCGCCGGTCGTGGCCGTAATTATCTCGAGGCTACCGCGATACGGTGCCCACACCGTGTACATCATATTTCTTGCCTCTTTCTTCGTGCGCGGCTCGCGAACGAGTGAGACGTTCCAGCCCCGAGTGCATTAATCTCCGGCGACGGTTGCGTTAATGTAATCGTTTAATAAGTCCGGTTTATTAACTGCGCCCGCTCTCATCGGCATTAATTCACCCTTGCCGAAAATCCCTTTCGTCTGCACGCGGACATCGAAGAAACGAGGAGAGACGAGAGACGAGAGACGAGGGAGGATCGCGCGAGTATTTGTCCCTTTGCTCGGGGAATCTCGAGGAGATTGCCGTGATCAAAGGAGGATTCGAGGAACCGCGAAACAGGTTCAACTCGACCAAGCCGATCCCATCGAGTTCTCTTTGCGAGATTTTGAGCAACGGATCGCTTCCGATGGAAACTCGCGGGACACGATATTTCAGAGCAACAGGTTTATGAAACATTTTTAACCAACGTCCACCAATTGGCACTGCCGAAGACTTGGAAGTTATGAATTATAGATATAAGATATTGATTATAACATCGCGCCGGTACAAAAAAAAAAAAAAAGAAATTGTAGGTTACTATTTTATATAAGATTATACGTTGATATACTCATGTCAAATATTTGAAATCTATTTATCGATCACGCCTCAACGATTATTTACATTACTACCTAAGAACCAGAAATTCCAGATTATAATAAGTTGGCCGAGAATCTGCAATTTTTTCCTTTTTCCTTTCAAGCGAATACCTAAATAAGTGTTGTAAGTAGAATTTGCATCGATGAACTCGTTCACCGAGCAACTTGTAATTTTTTTTAAAAATTAAGCAGCCGTTTCCATGAAACAAACGTATTCTTCGACACACACTCGTCCATGGACAACGTATGCGAACTGTCTGTTGAAAACACGTTTCTCCATCAGTTACAAGCTTCGTAGTTATTGTTGAAGAAAATATTTTTATTTTTATTCATCGTCCTATGAAAGTACCTACGAACAAAGCAATATATTACCTCGTGCAACCTCTTCATCAGTTGTATTTCGCCCGCAACGTGGAATTGAAAGAAAGTTGACAGTTTCTCGATACGAAACGCGAGGCTGAGGAAAGAACGAAAGAGGCAATAAAAGAGAAAAAAAGGAAGAAAAGAGTCAAGTTGGTGATTCGTCAGAAGGCTGTTCAGGGTTATTAGAAGCTAGGTTACTGAAGGTCAGGTCAAGGGCCATATAGAAGGAACGGTTAATAAAAGGAGAACTCTCACCTCTCTCTCGGTGTTATAAACCTCGCAGCTTCGACGGATTTTACGACTGCGCGATGCGAATTCCATCGATAGGAAACGAGTTTGATGACGACTGCGGCAGGACCGTTAAAGAGGTATCGACAATCGCGTTTCGCATTATAACGAGAGTTAGACTCACCGCGTACCTGCAAGTGGATCCCTCCGATCGATAAAACGCGCGACGCTCGGAAAAACGTCGTCGGCGTGCGCTGCCGCGTGGAATTCCACGAGGTGAAAACGATCGGTTGGCGACGATCGAGACCAGAGAAGGAAAAACCAGAGCCAGCAGCCGGGTCCGGCCTTGCCGGTTCGCCGGCAATCAATTCGTCTGGTTGCGCGAATAATTTCCATCCGGCGCGCCGTGTCTCCCGCCATTCTAATGAATACAAAACGCGGCGATTTGTATCGGCCGATTCGCGGAATATTAATTATTAATTGCGCCACGCGAATATTTATAAGCCGCGGGGACGTGATTTCTGTCGCGCGCGGCCTGCCTAACGATCCCGAACGATAATGCAACCAAAATGGCAAACGCGCGCGCAAAAACACAGGCTCTCGCCATCGACGCAATCGAGTATGCAAAACGGACAGTTTTCTGTCGCTGGTTGCTGGCGATTGTTGGTCAAGCGCTCGCCGCCCGAGAAGGCCGTTAATCAGCCAATTGCAATCATCGCGCGGCGCAGGTACAATGTCGTTGATTGGCCGATCGAGCCGCGCGCCGTCTCCCATGTACACGCGACAGCCGGTGCCCACTTTTAACAGAGGCTAAGCAAACTCTCGGCTTGAATATATCATCGATACGCGACCGAGCTCGTGCAACAGTTGCAACTTTCCACGTAGCAGGTAGAATAGGTCTTGGCAGCCGCGAGTCACAACGATTTCGCGCTTTCATCTCCAAAACTACAAAGAGCTCGTCCTTGCACGACATCCGTTACCGTCTCGGCATTTCGTTCAACGTACTTCTGTACATGTGACTGCGTCGTACGAACGACATCTTCTCGAAAAATTTTCGAGAGTTCCTTCGTGAATCGAACCAGATGTGCGCTTGATACCGCCACGACGAGTTACAGAGTACTCTCTTGTGAGGCTTGGCAGTTATTTTGAAATTTTGCGAGAACTATAATGCTTCGATGAGCATGTCCAAGACTGAATGAACTTCTCACTTACGAGAAGCTTTGAGAAATTCTTTCGTCTGCTAATCCATCTGTGACTCCTGAAGAACTCCCAAGAAACAGGTAGTATTGACCCGAACCATGGACTTGGAAAGCACCTTGTCTTTATGACATACGTCTCTAGTCAAATTCAGCTATTTATTCTAATACCATCAGAGACGGTGGGACCAGAACAAGTTGAATCTTCCGCTAAACTCATTGTCAGCCGTAAAGAATTTAATCCTTAAGCTTTTCTTACCGTCTAGACTATAGAAAATCTCGCACTGGGTCCCAACTTTCATGGAACGGGCAAATTTCACGCAATTATTTCCAAATATATGAAATATGTTTTCTTTTCTTCTCGAACGTCGAGAACGACTGTACTTTATTAAGGACAGATCTATTAATTATATGATATACACACACAGATATTTCAGATAAAAATGTTTCGGTTGTAAAAGGAAAATATCTACCAAGATATTGATAAGAACAATAGATAATATTGATTATAATTATATATTTATAATCTTAGATATTCTCTTTTTTATGACTGAAGTATTCCACTTCTATTTGAGGTACTGCTCAAAATGTTACAAGTATATGTTGCCTCGTGACGTATTTGTTCGGCGTCATTCACTCCATTGTTCGTGCGAAAAGCGCTCGTCGGGGGAGGAAATAAGAGAAACCCGCTGGCAGATCCGCGATCGCGCCATGTACCATAATACAACAAAATTCCCCACGCGAGGAGGATCCAGTTTTTGCGCGGACGCTCCAGTACACGACGCCTCGATGAAGCAATATCTCGCGACGCTGCCTGGAATAATGCGCCGTGATGGCGGTTTTATCGGTCACGGAATGCGGCTGTGCTCGTCCTATCGGCACCAAAGAACAGAACGGATAGACTCGCTGAACGGAGATATCAATAAATGCCGGTGTTTCTCGGCGTTCGTCGTGGAAGTGTCTGACTCGCCGCTTCGATGATGCATCGCTATAAATTCCCCTTTCGCGTCGCTCGTTAATATACACGATGTCTTCGCAATCGTGGCACAATCGGCCAAGATTTTGTGTGATTTCACGCGAGAAAGTAAGCCGGAAAGAAGCAACCGAGGCTTCGATCTTCGATAGTCGAGTATACTTGAGTATGATTCTAATTGTAGTAAAAAAGACAATCACGAGATGTTGTGGTAAAATTCAGCATCTTTTCATCGTGTAAAATAACTACATTTATGTTAAAGCAACACAAGTTATTATAAATTATTTATTATACATATTATGTTCCATCATTGCATATTATATTATATAACGTCAATCAAAATTGTTGATGTTTTAGCCAACAATCTGGGAATGTATACTGCAAGGCAAGAGGTTCAGACCACTTCAATTCCGGAGACAATTAAACTTGGGAATTTATCAAGCGTATTTTAATTAAGTTCCAATTTCTCGAGAAACGAAGCCTTGAACGTCTCGAATGATGAATAAACGTTTCGTTCCACACTTCTGCAAAAGGGTGGTCCTAAATAGAAAAGAAAAGACGTCATCCTTTCGTCTCGACTTACAATTGAAGTCACCCGCTTTTGCGAGAACACCGCGAAACGAAGATAAGAAAAGGGAATGGGAATGGAAGGAAGGATGGAATCGGCGCGACGAACGAACGCGTCGCGGCGAATCGAGAGAAACAGGGAACGGAAAGCGGCGTGGCGGCGATTACCGCGGCATGCGCCCCGGTACCTGACGACGATAAAGCTGCGTAAACGCGCGACACCCGTTCAGCTCGTGGCAGCGGCGCGTTCCTCTTGTCTAAGCGCGACGTTGATAAATAATCATTGGCGTATAGACGCGAGCATCTACATGCAGGTGTGCGGCAACAACGACAACGACAACGACGACGACGACGACGACGACAACACACCTGGTGCTGATTAACGAATCGGGCGAATCGGTTCTGGTCAGGTAGATGGCTAAATGGTCGGCTAAATTGCCGCGTTATTCTTGTAAACCGCGGCGTCTCCCGGCTATCCAATTACCGGGCAGGAGGTGGCAAGAGACGTGGTCTCGAGGTGGGTACCACGGCGACGTTCCAAACGACGGCCTCGGAATCGCGGCTTTTTTAACGCCGCCGACACCATTAAGGGCGGCTAATGAGCACGCCCGGAAAAAATTAATCGGTAAATTCGCCACTGTGGCACCGAGCCGGCTGCAAACTACCTTCGTTACCATCCAGATCACCGAATTTAACAAGTGCCGGGATCTTAACGATCGTTCCGCTCGCGCCGTGAACAGATCAGCCTCGTTGTTGTTTAATCGAGCTGAGAAAGCGAACGCGCGTCGAAACTCACTGGGCGAGAAATTCGAAAATCGATCGATTAATGAAAATTGGCCGTGGCCCGGGTAATTACGCTCGACGGTCGCAACCGACGGCTTGAACAGTCATCAGTATTCCGTTTTAACGTTCGCTGGCCTCGAATTACTGCGTTGCTGTTTGCAATAAACGAAGCTGATATATTGATGCGTCGATATATCGGTCGAAGTTAATTTCTCGGCGCTTTGGTTTTGCTTTGTTTCGCGTCGTTCATTGACTTAATACTCAATAACGGGCGGGGAAAATGGCGAGACTAATGGTTGGGAAATGCGGACCGGCGATCGAGCGAGAACGAACGGCCACGTTTGTTACGCGTTATTAAGAGATGAATTTATCTAAAACGGAAATTCCAAGCCTCTCGGATGAAATGTGCTCCGATAGGAGGGAAGGATCGATTATTTGAAATTGTTATCGGCGCTCGTCGTAGCTACGTTCGAATTGACGTTTCAATTAATTAGTCGAGACTCTGTTCCTTGGCGGAATCAATGGTCAAAGAATCTGTTTTGCGAGAGCTAAGATAACCGGTAATCTCGCGTTAAACGTCTCTAGAATGTCTGAAGATATCAAAAGAAGAGTTGCCCGGGGAAACAGCTGGATCAACGGTACCAAATTAATGGCCGTTCGATCTTTACGATTCCACTTCACCTTCCTTAGCGTTCCAGCCGTGTAATTCAACGTAACAGCAACGTGCCTCAAAAATTCTTGCATCTGCGTCTTTAGCAGTTCCATTTCTCCGATCGTGCCCAGTTCTAACGCCAGATAAACTCGACGTCCGCGACAAGATAATCTTAAACCTTGTATCTGTCCGACTGCAAATTACCACGGAACGAGTTTTCCTTTTTACATGAATATCGTATTAACGCCGCGTGTTTTTCGTGACAACGACGATGACTTCGTCGATTGGGTCTCCAAGCGGAACGTAAACGCGACAACTTCTCGTTGCACCCTCTCGTTCGTCCTCCATTTTGGTTGAGATTCAAGTTCGAACGTTCGATTATGTTGCTCGCTGGAGCAAATCTAACTCTACGGAGCCATAACGATTTAGACTTTTACGTTACTTAATTATGAAGCTTTCACTTGACGCAAAAATCAATCAAATTGATTAAAATTTGAATTTAAGAATGAAAATTTGAATGCCAATGGAAATACAAATGGAATCTGTTTCGATATTTATGATAGTTCGATAATTTAGCAAAGTTGGTAGATTACGTTAATGGATTACGTATTAATATTTTCATTATTATTATTGGAAGTTTCATTCTTTTGTAATTTGAGTACTTAATTGATTAATTAATTAAACTAATTTACTGTCGATTATTGAAATTATTACAGCCAATTTGACAGTTAAAAAACTTCAAATTACACTAACATTCGCATTCGCCACGAACTTGACTGCGGTTTACTTTAAGTAACATGTGTTTTGTCGAATCGAGGAACGATCGAGCCGTAACAGCAGCGAGCGCGATGATTTTCGAGCGAGAAACGTGGCGCTGACCGACAAAATCGAAACGTGGAAACGAGGATAAACAGAGGCTGTCAATTAGCTCTTGGATCGTCTTCGAAACGCAAGTCGATTCAGGATCGCAGGATGATTTTGGCAAAATCTCTTCAAATTTTCTCGTAATAATTCCAAAGGAGTCACGCACGGCGTAAATTAACTAAATTTCACGTGAACGCCAAATGAAAATTGTCAGATCTCGGGCTGGAGATTCCTGCAGAACTGATCCTGCAGAGAGAACTGGATCGGCGAAGATTCCCCCGAGGGAAACTAGAGAAGTGAAGACTGAAAAATGGGGAGGCAGGCGCCGAAGATGTCGGCCAGAGTCGTCAACGCCATTAGAAATCTGCGAGAGGCGCATGGCTCCACGTCGAAGGAGATTATGAATTACATCATGTCGCAGTGCAACGTGCCCGAGACGACCGTGCAAAGACAGGTATTTTCAAGAGATACAAATTTCCTGAGACGTTACATGCAGTTTGTTGGCACGTTGGCTGCCATGTTTATGCAAATTCGCACTTTTGTTAGTCCGATCGAAGGAATGGAATTTAATAACAGATAAAAATTTATTTCAGACATCAAATACCCATTACATTTTTATATCTCTAAATTTTATATTTCAAACATTCGCAGCCAAATCATCAAATAAAAGTCATGGCTGTAGTTCCGAGTGACAACCGAGCGGCGAATCGGTCGAAATAAAATTTCGGTGGTTATTATCGCGAGATAAAATCTCAGTTTTGGGAAAATACACGATAAACGCGGGTTTATTTGAAATTTCGATACGATGTCCACGCTCTTTGCGCTTCTGATTCGTGTAACGTCTCAAGCTGAAGAAAAGAGCTTATTCGACGTCAAGATTTCCCATCTTTTCTCGTACATTTCTACGCAATTAATTCCCCCGTTAGAAAAAAAAAAAAAAAGAAGGTTCTGTTATGGCCGTATAAACTTCAACCGTGGCGGTGGACACGTTAACGACTCTCTCCGGTGACGTGGAGAAACTAGAAGAGATATACCATCACCTTCCTCTAAACACTTCGCTAACGCGATCGAATCGTTCTCGCAGATGCAAGCGGCGTTGAAACGCGGCCTGGACTACGGTATCCTGAAGAAGAACCACGGCCATTATTTCCTAAACACGGACGCGGAGCCGCGCCTCGCGTCGAGCCTGGTGCCGATCGAACAAGACGGAAGACGAAGACGACGCGGCCGCGGACGTGGACGTCGACGAAGCAGAGGCAGGAGAGCCCGTGGACGTCGACGCAGCAGAGCCAGGAGAGGCAGGAGACCCAGGAGGAGAGGTCGACGCAGTCGTCGTCGTCGATCGAGGCGTCGAAGGGGTCGCGGTGGCGTGAAGACCAGACAAATCGGCTGCACCAGATGCCGGTGCACTACGAGATCGAGGAACGTAGATGTGCTGAAGGGTACGCCGATGGAGCAACAAGACCCGGAGAACATGTGCATGTGCGAAAAGGAGAGCAACGTGGAAAATCAAAGCAGACAAAGCAGGAGCCGTGATCGTAGCCTGAGCCGTAGTCGATCATCGGCGAACAGCGATCGAGACGACGCGATCGACGATCGACGACCGATCCGCGATCAAGATTAATCGTTCGAGGAAGAAGTTCGTGCGGTGACGGCTCGTCGTTAGCGGTGACAATCTCTTGGCGCGTTGTCGGCCTTCGATGCGTGTATCACTTGTCATTTCTCACCTTCGTCTAAATCGTGTGATCCGATGATATCGTATTGCTCGATTTATCGCCAGTGTCTATCATTTAATCAAGTGGTAAGTGTAAATTTCGACTGGTCAATGTTTTTCGTCGTGTAACACATTCGCACGAATAAATGGGTACGCATCAATTGTGTATCGATACGTCTGCTTTTAATTTCTACTCGACTTATCGAAGGGTGAACGTAGCGACAGATACGTGAATCCAATTCGTAAATTGGAATAACTGGTTTTTTCTTCTAATCTTCATTTACTGCTGAAAATGTCAGAAAACTGTTCTTCTGGATCCTCGTTGAGAAATTTTTAACTACCAAAGTTTCAAACTTATTATCGGATAATTATGGAACTCAATTAAGCACGGATCACGGAACTTGAAGTTTCGTTTTCAATAAATAAATTAAGAAACGAAGACCCTTCGAGACTACAAATCGCTTCGAATTTTAATTCGGAAAATTCGCAAACAGAGACGAGCGAATCGTCGAGCGATAGGAAAATACTTTCTCGTCGACTTTTCAAGTTTATGCAACTTTTCACGAGATGTCGAGGCGAGAACGGAGGTCGGCGCCTTGGCCGAGCTAGCCTGAATAAAATCAACGGCCGTAACTCTTGCAGCGGTGGGGTCAAGGCGGGTTAGAAAGGATCGAGAAGTGATTAGTAGTATTTACCGGTGCCCACTGAGAGAGAGTCTGCCGATTCCAGGTACCGCTCGGACATCCCGCAGAGACCCGCGTACGCGTCACAATGCCGCGATTTAACTGCTCCCTATTCTCCGGCAGGACTCTCTCGGAGATCGACGTGACACTACCGACCAATTCATCGGCCGCATTATTAATGCGATTCTAACGGTGTGCGTCGATGTTGTACGAGAGAGTTTTTCTTCCACGTGTGGCGTCGCATCGCGGAGAAAACACGTTTCGCTTTCCCGAAACTCCTTCGGAGGTCGGTCGTCGGTAGCTCGATGAAAAGGATTCGTATATCGGAGGATCTACGCGATGTTATCTCGATCTCTGTCGATTTGTTCAGTGGCACGACGCGAAATCTACTTCTTCTACGTTGTGTGTCATTTCGCTTGTGTGAGACTGTACTCTTGGAAGTAATCGAACAAGTATGGTACAACTGGACTGCAGATTTTTATGCGTCCGACTCGGGAAATTTTTAAATAAGAAAAACATTGAACATAACGCACATAATGTGAGAAAAATTATATAGAGTATAATACTTTATATAAATTTATAAACGAAGGAGTGGAATTTGTCCTGGAATTTATTATTATTCATTATCTGACCATCTTCTTAGAATAATCAATTTTACTTCAATCGGATCTTAATGCAGCTTCTAATAATAGAAATATTCCACAGAGGAAACAAATTTCAACTTGCTCGATTATTAAATTGAGAAACAAGAGCAGTTTCGCGAGACGAATATCTACGTCCAGGAAAAATCAACGGTTAATAACACCAGACAGTAGTTGAGATACTTATTTCACTTGTAACTTATTTCCTAGCGTTCCGTTCTCTCGTTTCGTCTCCGTAGACGGCCGTAGTTGCTTTAATTCGGCTCTGACTTGGTCGGTAGTTTCGGCTCACAGCGTGTGACCCATTGTGCACGATAACGAGTAAGCGCCCGCGCATTACGACCGCTCCCCAGTGTACGTCCGTCGTATCGTAGCTTATTATTTCTAAAGTAAGAAACTACAAAAGCAACAGGAGATCGTACCGGTCTATTCTGTTCGCTTAAATGAATGGATCCGAATCTATGGGAGGTCGACACATTGGCATCCTGAGATTACGATCTCGAGACCACTGAAAATCCTCTGTAGTTTTATCAAGGTGGCAGATTTTCCAAATTTTTTTGAGAAATTCGATCTGAACAAAGTTTCTCTATTCCAAATGATTAGGCGGAAATCGTTGTGGAATTTCAATAATGATAATTAAGGGTGGAATTTGTATTTTATGAATTATCAAGGAAACATCTATGGAAGATGACAATGTTGTATTTTAAATAGAAATTGCACTGGAAGATCAGCAATGGCTGTTGACATGAATATTGCTTCAATATTATTTTGTAATTTATTTTATTATCCAATATTACAGATTATAATATTAGTGTCGTTTGTAACCGTTATTTTTTATTTGACATTGAACAATAATCGAGCTCTTAATTTAAAAAAATATATTATTAGAGAAAATATTATATTATATTGGAAATTTTTATTACATGAGATTGCAATGTAACGATAACTTTTAAGAAATAAGACAGATATATGTGCAACTTGCAAAGTAACATTAAGAAAAAAACATTTTCCAGTTGCGCAAAAGATTCAACGCCTCCCTAAACCTTTCAAACCTTCGATATCGACGATGTCACAACACTTGTATAATAAATTCTTAAAGATGAAATTATTCCTTCACCGACAACGCCACAAACATCATAACGACGCAATTTAACGCGCACTCGGCGGAACGTTGTGCCGACGCGAAATCGTTTGTCACGGGTTTTTCACCTGTGTAACCTTCTGGCAGATCTATCTGACCGATGCCACCCTGAGCGGAACGAACTTCTCTCTGGTTTTAGCACGACCGTAACCTGTACCGTGGCTCCTCGACGCGCAAGCCAGGGGTCGAGCACTGCTCCGTGATAAGATAAGACGAGAGGGGGAGAAACTTTCTTCCCTTTCGTTCCAGCGTTACACCTTATTTGCTATTTAACGAGCGCGACTCCTCGCCTCCGCGCCGATAAGACGAGCCGAACAAATTGAAAGGGGAGGCGGCGGGAGGGAGAATAATCTGCAGGAGGTACCCGGTCTAAAAAAATCCAGCGGTACAACCCGCCGCTGACAAAATTTACGAGTTCCACGCTGAAAGCCCCGTTATCGTATCGTGTCGCCGCGTATCCCAGGCCCTTCCACGCCACCGATCTCACAATTAGTTCGCGGGAACAGCGGCTCCGGGAAGCAGCGTGCCCGGCCGCCGCTCTCGCATCTCTTTTTCTCCCGAATGCTCGCTTTGCACCTTTACACACCTGCCACCGACCTGCGACACAACGCGTGCTTTTCGCGTGCGCTCCGCTGAAAGCTTCTTAACGTTCCTATCGAGTTCTCCATCTCTCCTCTGTACTCCCTGGTGAGATTAATTCGTTGATCGATCGTGGCGGCGAACGTGGCAATTTGTAACGCGGTACGAAAATTATTCACGTACCGTTGACACTTTCTTTTCCCCGACGCAATTCGCAATTTTCGTCCCGCCCGTGACGAGATTGCAAATTCTCGCTCTCGCGCGAGGTGTATATTTAGGATCGACGTAGATGTCGGTAACACCGTCAACAGATGGATATCAATTGCTGTCGAAGAAATTCATTGAGATAGAGATCGAATAAAAATGGAAGAAAGAAAATCACCATCAGGAGGACTCTCGCGAAAGCGTCGAAGACTCGTGCACAAAGTGCACAAACATCGAGATATCATCTGCGCAGCGTGGAGTGTGAAGCGACCGGGCGATATAGCTGGCGAGGTATGTAAACGGAGAAAAAGTTGAAGAAAGCGCGGGCGACGCGAATGGCCAGCGAACTGACTCGGCCTGCTATCTGACGACGAAATCATCGCGGCTGAAATCATTTTCGGCCTAATCTGAAACACCGGGAGAAATACGAGCTGTCGGGAAGGTTGGAAAGGTTGGAAATTTCGTGCAAACGAACGGCGGAAACGAGGACTGCCGCGGCGGAGTTAGTCGGGTCACGGCGATGACGCGAGTCTCTTCCAAATGACGACGACGCCGGGTTGAAGCGAAACAGGGTTAGGCCGCAGAAAATCACGACGATATGATCTCTCGTGGCGTGGTTCCTCTCACGAGCACACCGTACGAAACGGCGGTTCGAGGTGTCAGCCTTGTTCTTACGTATACCAACGCTGCGAGATAGCGTCACCTTGGCATTAACCGCGATATCATTAAGGTAGATTTATGTGTTGTACGTAAACGGGCGGCGGACTACGAGGGGTTAGGTCAGGCTGCTACGCTGCACGCGAATACACGCGTATTGGAGTAAATAGCCGCCGAGCGAGAAATCGTTTGGTTAATTTACCGTGCGCTATTTAGAAAATAACACAATATATTTGCAGGTAAATAAAATTCAGATTCGAGCGAATTCGAGTATTTGCCACTTTGACTCTCGGTAGAAACCTACTGCAATGATTGAGGGTAGAAATTTGCAGGTTAATTCACGTGGAAACGCGCGAACGTAAAGAGAAAAAATGTCGCACATTTGAAACTGGTGGATTTTGAACAGATTGTCTTCAATGGCGGCAATGTGTTTCCACTTGTGGTAAAATTAATAGCAAATTAAATTGGGGTCGAAGACGAGTGTGTTTCAATACAATTTTTGTTAATCCTTTGCCTCGCAATTTTGTCATTAATTTTCTCACGTTAACACTAGTTATTGTAATTTTTTATATTCAATATAAAATATTGGAACGTTATAATCATGTACGTATATATTTATATATAAACGAGATTCGTGTATACGTATATGTGAGATATAAACGAGACACGTGTATACGTATATATATATATATATATATATATATATATATATATATTTATATATATATACTAGTTGCAATATTGTAAATTATTATAAATACTATTCTGTGAAATATTACTATTTGATAAAATATTATTTTCCTATATTGTAATGAAATACTTATTTCACAATACTATTTCCATATGTAACTACACACATGAGAAAATAAAAATTTACATTCTATTTACTAAAAAACATTCTATTTACTATTTCATATTTATTATTCCTCCTGAGCCCTGGTGCGAACCCACCTAATCCAACCTAGTCGGAGGAGTTTAATTAGCTGCCACCTTTGTGGCTAATAGACCAGGACCACATGCGAGAAACTTCAACTCGAGCGATCTACGCGCTCGATAAACTGGCAGTGAACTACC